ACCTGTTGATCGCAGACCCTCCGCGGGGCGTGTGGGTTGGTCTGGAGGGTTAGAGAGAGAGAGAGAGAGAGAGAGAGAGAGAGAGAGAGAGACGGGAGGAGAACGCGAAAAAAGAGAGTCCGTTTGGTTCAGGGCCCCGCCGCCGCCCTCTAGCCGCGCTGTATATAATCACGAGGCTTCGCGTCTGGCTTTGGAAACGAGGTGTATTGGGTTCGTCTGGCTCGGTTTGGGCCCCACAGGAGGGCTCCGACGGCTGAGATTTGGTGCGTGAAAAATCGAGTTATATGCTTTATCTTCTCTCCCACCCGCGCTCACCCTCTCTCACCCGCGCAACTCTCACTTGCGCTCTCTCGCTCTCCCTCCCTCCCCTGCTGCTGCTGGGGCTGCTCGAACATTAACGCAATAAGCTCTGCATTCCACTGAGTAATGGGTACTCCTCCCTGTAATCGTGTTCCGAACACAAGGTGCCAAGCAGCGTTTTCGTCGAACGGTTGGCGCTCCGGATGATCCGCGCTGCATAGCGGATCCCCTCCAGCCCCAGCCCCCCTCCTGCACTTGGCCCCCCACCCTTCCATCCCACGCAGATTTAATTTTCGGCGCCATTCCCTGCTCCCGACCGGTATGCTCTCCTCCCGGGGATAGCGTCCCGGGCTCCGGCGCCCTTGATTGACGGGTGATGGGTCGTCTAGACTGCGAGCTGCTGGGAGAGACAATGGCGCTTGGGAGGTGCTCCGTGGCAGCCAGCGAGCGGGAAAGAGCGAGATAGGAGCGAGCGAGCGAGATAGGGAGAGAGAGAGCAAGGCGAGGTGCGGGGGTGAATAATGCATCGGGGGAGGCGAGGACCCCCTGTATTGACCTCGCTCGGGTGCGCCCAGGCGGCGGGTACCGCACCGCCTCTGTCCAGCGGGCGCCGTGATGAAGAGCCTGGCGCGCTGCCGCAGGGCAGGCGAGGCGACACACACGGCGACCCGCCTTATCCGCCCCCGGAGCGAGAAATAGAAAGAGAAAAAGGAAAGAAAACAGTGTCGTCTGCGGGGGCACCTAAAATCTGCGACGCAGTCTGGCATCACGCCCCCTATAAAACTCCCGGGGCTCAAGCCTCGCTCTTCATTTTTGCCATGTGTCTGCGGAGCCCCCTCCTCCCTATCTCCCTCTATCTCGCTCGCTCACTCACTTCGCTACCTCCAGGCGCCGGGGTCGGCGTTTACCGTCGAGCAGGTGTGTACAGCCCCGTACACAGCTTTTCGCTTCCACTGAGAGCCAACGCTGCTCCCGCCGCGGCCCATGGGGAGGTCACAAATCACCTCCGACCCCTCTCCCCACTGCCGCTGGGGAGCGCGGAGAGCGGGGCATGTCGGGTGCGGTGGTGGTGGGAGAGACTTGCCTCCGAGGATCGGCAGCTCTCCTCGCCCGCCGTGGAGCGGGGGCCCCGCGCGCCTGGGAGGTGGGCTCGCCCGCCGGACGCTGGTGCCTGGCATTGCCTACCCGCCAGGCGCCCTCCCAGACTCATCCGTCCCCTCGGCGCATTCCCCGCCGGAGTCGCACCCGGGTCCCGCCTCTACCCCCCGCCGCTTTTTACGCCCCCCGCCTCGCTATGGTCAACGAACGACGTCCGGACGGCTCTACCGACGTGTTCAGGGCCGGGCCGAGCACTTGAGGAGGAGGGGGGGGGGGAGGCGGAGGGAAAGGGATGGGGAGCAGAACAAAGCAGCGAGGTGTGTGCACTGGCGAGTCGCTCCTCAGCCCCTGGGGGGCTTAACTGCTTGACTGCGACGTGGAGAGAGGCGAGGAGTCCTCGGGAGAGTCGCTCGCGCTGCCGTTCCGCGCGCATGCTTTAGCCTGCTGGGTGCCGCGCCGGCCGGGGACCAGCATTTTATAGCGACTCTAGAGGAAGAGTCTTTTTGACTCTCCTCGAAACCAATCTAGAAGTATGTTTAGTGATAGTTTTGGACTTAGAGACCGCATACACCATTCAAAACAGTAAGGCATTTTCCCCCTCGCTCACACTCAGAATGGTGCATCGCTGGTCGGCGGCGACCGAAACAGCCGAGCGAAGGAGGGAGAGAGAGAGAGAGAGAGAGAGAGAGAGAGAGAGAGGACATTTGTGCCCGTTCCCTCTCGAAACGGGAGGCGGTAATGGTGTCAGGCCAGTGTTGCGATTCTTTCCCCCGAAAGATGCGACATAAAAATGAGACTAACGCCTGCCGCGTGCGTCGTGTAGAGATGGGCGCGACTCAGCGGGGGGCGTGGCGTGGCGCTGCGCCGCGGAAAAGGGTTGCAGCGCGCGCGCGCTCCCGGGGCGTCTCGCTGTCGATGCATTTGCATACAAACAGCTTGATTACATCGCAGATGCGCCGTGATTCACGTTGCCGCCTAAAACTTTGATGGCGCCACGACCATGTGCGTCTTTATGGCCGCGACGTCTCCGTGCGGCGAAGGCGGCGGGGGCAGTCACCTCGGCCGGGCCGGCCCGGCGCCAATATTGGGACAGGTTGGGACAGCCCGCTCGCTCCGGCCGGACGAGTTGGACACAATTTGGCCGACCTTCGCCCAAGCAGAGCAGCGCCCCCGCCCCCGCCGCCCGATTTCGGAAGAGCGAGGTGGAGGAAAAGGGGGCGGTATAGGGGGGATCCGGGGGACTTTCCGTCGGGTGGGGACCCTGTGCCCCTGCCGAAGACCTCGCATACACGGTGTTTGGAGAGCCCAGCCGGTAGGAAAGGGGACGAAGGGAAAAAAAGGGGAGGGAGGTAAATGGATTGTCACGCACCCCCGCTTCGAGTAAGTCTGCCTATCTCCAACGTAGGCCCCACTTTTCGTGGCGAGAGGATCTTATAACCCCCGCCCCCCCTTTTTCATCTGCCGTACAACGGCGCGCAAAACAAACAAAAGTTGGTTTTCCTCCTACTTCTAAATGCGACTTTTGAATTTCGCACATGCGTGTTCGAATTGCTCGGGGAACAACTCTATTTCCTTCTCCCCGACGTTTCGCCCATATTGACGGTGCGTACATCGCGTCGTTGGACCGACTTGCAAATGCGCCATATTTGTGAATCTTTCCGCCGTTATCCTCTTGAGTGGGTGAGAGGGGGGGGGGGAGAGAGAGGGGGGGGGGGGGGGGGGGGCGAAGGGCAGGGGAGCTTCTGGCAAGCATGTGCGCCTGAGAGAGTGTGTGTGTATGAATGTATGCCCCAGTTACCAGTGTGTGTGTGTGTGTGTGTGCGTCAGTGTACGTGTGTGTGGACGTAGTTAGTTTTTATTCCGCCGCACGACAATATGCACACACACGCCCGCCCGCCGATTTCACGGGCTGGGAATGCGAATTTGGCGTCGACTCGTCGGGTCGGGCTCTGGCTCTGCTCTGCGCCCTTGCTATGCGGCGGAGGAGGGAGTTGGGCCCCCGGACTCCTATATGCGCATAACGGTCGACTGGCGCGCTCCTAGTCGGCCCACTATTGTACACGCAAAATATTGTCGATGGGTTTGTTGCTGCCTCCCCCTGGCGTTCTCTCCCTCCTCTCAATACGACCTCCCCGCCCACGCCGCCGCCACCGACGTCGCGTTGCCCCCGCGAGCCGCACCCCCCACTTCTCCCCTCACCCAGCCACGCTTCTCTGTATTCATTCTTGTTTTTGCTTCCGTTTCCTTTCCCTTTTTCCATCGGCATAATTTGGCAAAAGCAGTAATGTCTCTTTTCGTCTCCAAATGAAGCTCGCTTAAGTTGAGATATTGCGCATTTCGCGAGTCGAGTCTGCAAGGGGTCAGCAGGCACTTGGCCTCTCTTTTCGTGCCGCGGATTTTTCCTCCACTTTGTCGGGTGACGACTGCTTGAACGCGACGCGCTACTTCGGGCGGGCCTCTCACCACGAGCTTCTGCATACTTTCTAGCACACTTTTCCCTTTTCCCGCCGCCCTGACCGCGCGGTTGCGGGACGGGGTGGGGGGCGGTAGGGGTTGGTGAGTGAAGAGGGTGTTGGCGACACCCTGATAGGCACGACTGGCGCTGTTGGGGCCCTTTGTTTTGACGCGGCGTGTGGGGGTGGCGATAGATGACCCGACGCGATAGCCGCTCGCCCTGCGCTCTATGCGGCGCCGGCCGGCACTGCGGCGCGCTGCTGTCTGTCCCTTTTTATTATCATTTTCCGTTGCCCCCGCGCTGCATGCAGCCAGATACATCCGCCCGGCTGGACCGTATGTGCAGTGCTGATGGTGGGCGATAAGGAAAGGGCTGCGCTCAATGAGTGCGCTGTACCACACACGAGGCGCACTTCACTCAAAAAAATCACTACATACCCTCCAATAAAGAAATCAGAAAAATGGAAAATCAATGAAAATTCAATGCATCATAAAATCAGTAAGAAAAATGCAAATCCGATAAGATAGAAAATAGTCATAAAGTTCAGAAAAACAGAAAAATCGGTGTACGCTTGACTTTATAGCTCGTGCTGTTCCGTATATTTCTAGAAGCGAAATAAATGTCCTCCTTCAGTAAATGTCCTCCTTCAGTCAAAGTCGCAGTATTACTGGCCCGTCGGGTCGAGTCCGGTCCTGGGCCTGGGTCGGGTGGGGTAAACGGTGTTGTAATGATGTTCGCCCCCACACGGAGGGTTTGCACTGGCCCCGGGGGGCGGCCCGGAGGACGCCGAGGAGGTCGCTGCCCAGCTGACCGCGACGAAGGGCGGCCGCAAAGAATCCGAGTGCAAACACCACCACCACCACCATGGGCTGACTGACCTCCGGGCCGTTGTTGACGAATGGCCGTCTCTGGAAATTGGCTCCCCTGGGCCTCACTCTGACCACCTTTCTTCTTCTTGTGTGTTGCAGATGGAGGACGAGGGCAACCATGGCAACGACGAGACGCGCTGCTTCATCCTGTCGACGCTGGCCGCGCACCAGCTGAACCGCGCCGCCTGCCTGCTCTGCGGCGGCCTCATGGCCGTGTTCGACCGCTATCCGCTGGTGGACGGCACCTTCTTCCTCACGCCCAAGAAGCACTCGGCGGCCTGCCTGCCGGTGAGTATAGCCTAGCACCAACGCCGAGCCCTGTCTCTCTCGGACGCTGAGCCGACTTCCTCATTAGCTTTGAGGGGCTACAGAGGGCCGGTGGGCCCGGCCGGCGGCCCGTGTGGGGTCCCCGATGGTGCCTCCGGGCCCTGCACGCCACATCACACCGCGGGTCGCCGAGCTTCCGCCAAGGAGCCGGGCGCACGACGCAAATTTGGGAATTGGGTTCGGAGGGGAGAAAGGAGGGGGTAGGGGGCGCAAATTGACCGCAACCCCCGTGGGCCGCTGGCGGGGCCTCTTCCTGTTAGCATACATCAGCGTAGGGGAGGTGATACTCCTTTGTGTCCACGCGCGCCCGTGTGTGTGTGAGTGTGTGTGTGTTTGCCGTGTAATCCTGCCGGGCTCCTTGTGCGTGAACATGGCGGGATTACCTTGAAATTCCTCCCGAGTGTCCCCCGCGCGCGTTACCCTCTTGGCCTTCGCAGAAGGGCGTGTGGGGCTTACAGGCCGCGTCACATCTTAATAAGACTTCAAAGGGCACACGGGGGTCGCTTTTGTAATTGACGAAATTCCCCGTTATGAGTAGTCAGGGCGATAGGAAGGCCCATACAGGGAGTTCCACAGGCACCGTTCATTTTTTGTTTTTTGGATATACTGGACCGATTTCAGCCGAATTGGCTCCAACGCTAATAGCAGTAGCTCGTAACACCGAGCTACGACCATTCCCCCCAAGCAGCCTGAATGCGTTATAGTTTCACTGTAAAAACAATGTCTTGAGTTCGCCCCTCAAAATTTTCCCTTTCGCTTAAAAAAAAAAACAGACAATGTTCTTTACCTTGTACAACAAAAAGAAATACGAGGGCACCTTGTGTGTGCCAAGTACATGCAATTGCGTTTTTATTATCCTGCACTGTTTTCATCTACCCATCTAACCTTTTTGCTTGCACAGTTCTCTTCATTCTGTTGTCCTTGAGCACGATCGTTTCGTTTTGAAACAGGGGACCCCTCCGGTTTTCATGAATTGGAGGCGAAGCATGGCTCGACGTGCGAAAAGAGCAGAAACTCATTTCTTCCAATGCTTACTGTTTACTTTCCCGACCGTTTGTCCACACCCCTTTCTAGGCCCGCCAACCTGTTTGTTATTTTTTCCAAAGGGAGAATGAGAAACGAATAAATAGCGAGAGACAAAGATTGGGCGCAGAGGTGGGGGTGGGGGTCCTGGCTACCGGAAAGTGTACCATCGTCCTCCTTCTCTCTTTTTTTTTATTTTCCTCCTCGGTGTTTAATGTTGGTAAACAGTAAGAGGCCCTGGCTCGCTGCGCACCTTCTCGTTGAGAGTTAATAAAACCAAGCGGCCTGGGCTGTCAGACCGCAGGATCCGCAGGCAGACGGCACTGTTTGGTTAGAGCGCCTCTTCGTCCCCCATCTTTCTCTCTCTCTCTGCCTCCGTGTCCTTCGATTTCCAGGTGAAGCTAGGGGTACTTGTCTGCGTTGCCATAGGACAGAAAAGGGCGCATACGTTAAAAGATTAGGCCGAGGGCCTAGAAACTTGTTATACTGCAGTTTTGGAACAATAGATAGACTGCTGATAGACTCTGTTTCGATTTTCAAATATTCATTTCTGTAACAATATGGCGTATTTTTGTGTGTTACAGACTAAGGTGGAGGGGAAAATGCAGTACCTGTCAGCTGTTTGCATGGGCTGTATGGACAACAAAAGGACCTTGTGCCGTTTCTGCGGTGTCCCGTGGGACGGATCTTCCCTTGTCCTGGGAACGATGTATTCCTATGACATCTTTGCTGCCGTTCCATGCTGCCAGGAGCGATCAAAGGTGAAATTGCTTTTCATGCTTTTTATTCAGTCCATGTCCTAAGAGCGCCTTCTTTGGCCCTTAGGATGGCAAGTGCCGTGTTATCTTTCTGACGAGTTCCAATCTTCTCTTTCACAGTGCAATAGCTGCAAGAAGCCCCTGCTGTCGGTGTTCCAACGCCTTAACTACTACTCCGATTACAGTCAAGACGTAGCTTGCCCACACTGCGGGGTGACCGACCACCACTTCATCAAGTCCTTGCAGGGAACCTACCAGTCACAACCATAACATGAGGGGCCTCCGCTCCCCCTCGGGGGGGCGGAGGACGCCGCGCACGACGCGGCGAACTCGGATGAGGAATGGGCATTCAAGCCTACTAGACTCAACACGCTCATTGTCAAGGGCATGGAAATGAGTGCAGACTCGCTTGCCACCATCATGGCGGCCTCCGGAGGCACGGCGATAGCCGCTGCATACCAAGCGCTCCCCTGCTCTGATCCTTTGGGCAACCCCCCACGTAACTCAATCGTTACGAGCCACAATTCCGGGAAACCAGTCGTGTACCCGCACGAGTCCCACCCTGCTGCGCCTGTTGCTGCACCGCCACGATTCCAGCAGAATCGGTCCGGCCCAAGAGCAATTCGCAAAACAACATACTCTTCAAATGTCAACGCAAGGAAGACGCCAAATCCAGTGGGCCGAATCCCTGATCTCAAAGACATGGAGAAGTATGTAGAAAGCCCCCTAGCTATCAGCCGTTATGATCCTGCCCCCTTCTTGGACGATTTTGTCTTCGACAATACTCCTACTTTCAGTCTTCAGACAGAAGTAAGAAAAAATAAGGAAGAACCCTGGCCCAAATTCGATGCGCTAGCTAAGGTAGAAGAAATTAGGTGGCCAGAGAAGCTAGATGACAATATGTGGCCTACAGCCTCGCACAAGAGTCGTTTCTGGTCACAAGACGAAGTATCAAAGTCAGAGGAGCGCTACTGGCCTCCCCGCTCTGTGGAAACTTCGCCGTCCTCATCCATTTCGGCAGCCAGCCCAACAGGTATGGGCCCGTTGTGGCTACCTCCAGACATGTCCATTGGCAGTGACTGCCCCAGCCCACTGGAAACATCTTTAGTTGATGTATTTGAAAATATGCGCCCATTCAGCTCCTCCTTTTATTGAAGGAATGGGGTGCTTAGTGTGCTGCCTAAGTTTTAACTGCCTGGTGCGGGGACTTGCCAGGAGCACGCAGTTGACACCGCCAAGTACAAGACAGAGTGTATGTTTGTTATGGAAAGTCTAATTTGCCTATCGGCCGTGATTTGGGATTTGTTATATGCACGAGCCGTTAGGCAAAGGTTTGATTGAATTGATTTTATTTGAATATATAAATATTTACTATATGTATGCTTGTGATATTAGAAGCGAGTTGGAATGGAAACTTCATATCGTTTTCTGTTCTTTCTACTATGTAGGTCAAAGACTGACAAATTCACACAACCTTAAACGTTAATATTCCCGAATGCACTATAAAATCTGTTTGAGCAAATGTTTATTACATGTTGTATTGCCCACAATTGTTTACAGAAATATTGAGTTTTGGCATACACCTTCTGTTCCAACGCATTAGTTATTGTTTTATGGCTTGTTGATGTTTTGATGCTGATTATTACTTTAAAGTGGAGGTTTTTCAATGATCTATGGTGAAGTTACATTTTACATAATAGATAGTCTATTTGAAAGATTAGTACAAACTGGAAATATTGTGAGTTGCGTTAAAGACGCCATTACCTTGTCGCTTGGGCCCAGAATTGTATAACAACCAATATTTGGAAAGACGCTTGCACGCCAGACGTGGGTATAGACAAGGCAAATGTTTTTATTCGGAAATGTAATAAGAAATTGAAGGTACAAATTTTAACTGGAGTGATTATTATATATGAAGTTTGAACCTTTCAGATTGTTTACTAGAGCTGGTTATGCACACGTATAAGTATAA